GTATGTATTATTTACAATGTGTTGTGCTATTTTGCAGACTATTGTTTGATTTAGTTAAAATAATTTTGTGCATTTTCTCGTTGTACCTTTCAATTATATTTATTTAGTTTATTTTATTGTTTAGTTTTGAATCTCTTGAAAACTTTAATTTAATAACATTTATTGCTTTTCGCAGGTATCTTGCGTTACAAAGTGGATTTCCAGAGTATGCAGCTCGATGAGTTGGACAACGACTGCTTCGATTTAGACGACTACTAGATAATTTTTACTTTTCTAATCAGTTAATCAGACCGCAAATTGAGAACTGTTGATTTATAAATGAAGCAAAATCGAAAAGAGCAAATAGAATATTTTAATGATACACAAACACACACGTACACACACACAATCCTTCTTCCATTTTAACGTTGTTGGCGAATAAAAGTAAAATTGCAAAAATACATATATACCGTAAATAAAACAAAACCACAAAGATATAATGTTAAATCAAGAGAAAAACAAAAATATAAAAAGGAAACCGTTTTACTTGAAACAAATTATTATTTATTTATTTATTTTATATTCCAATTTCTAGTCAGAGCTCGCCCAGCCGTTCGATTTCGTCTAACATGACATCCAATTCGTCAGTCTTGAGCACGGGAAAACAGGTGAATACCATGCGGAAGAAGTTGCCCAACTGGCGACTGCTGAGCGGCGTATAACCAACCATCAGGGTGCCAGTGTACGCCATTTGCTCCTTGATTTTGGGTGCGACCTGTTGAAGCAAGTTATAAATCCCGACCTGGCAACGAATCTTGGTTTAATACATACGGTATATAGACGCGTCCACCACTCTGGGGTCTCCTCACTGCTCTGGACCCGCATTGATTTTGGGATGTACCAAAAGCAGACATTGGAGTATTCGTGCTGCTCCAGCACGAGTCTGAAGCGATCTGGACGTGCGCGCAGCTTCTGCTCCAACAAGCGAGCCATTGATATGGCATGATCCACTAAATGTCCGTATTTGCCGTATCCGCGCGCCTTGAGCATAAGCCAAAACTTGAAGGCGTCTATTTTGCGGCCGCACTGGACGCTTTTGTTGCCGGTGTCGTAAGAGATATCATAGAATTTATCCTGCTGAAACAAATAATTGACCTTGATGCTGTTGCAACGCGCCAGCAAATCGGATTCGCTGGTGAGGAACAGGGAGCACTGCAACGGAACGCCGAGGGTCTTGTGTGGATTCCAGGCAAAGGAGTTGGCGCGCTCCAGACCCCTCAACAGTGAGCGGTTCTTATAGGCGAGCAGTGCGGCTCCGCCCAGACAGGCATCCACATGCAGCCAGAGTCCGTGGCGATTCGCAACATCGGCAATGCCAGCGATGTCATCAAATGCGCCCAGCACCGTTGTGCCAGCGGTGGCATTGATGAAAAACGGGTCATGTCCACTTGCCTGTGCTGCTTTAATCTTGTCCTCCAGGTCGTCCAGTGACATTTGACCCTTGGCATTGGTGCGCACAGCTATGCAGTTGTCGGCGCCAATGCCCAACCAGTGGGCGGCTTTCTGCAGACTGTAGTGCGAGTCCTCGGAGGTGAAGATGACAAGCGGTCGTAATCCAAACATGCCAGTGGATTTGATTGTTGGATGGCGTTTAAACCGGGCCAGAACTAGCCCGTACATATTCGATGAGGAACCGCCAGGAGCAAAAATGCCATCGCCTTGGCTATAGCCGGCTAATCTGCAAACCGTTGATATGATCTCCGTCTCGATTAGGCTAAAGACAGGCGCCACCTCATAGGTGTAACTGGAAGTGCACACACACTCAAATTAAGGGACCTTTGAATCCATTTTTGTTTCGGTATATTACGTGCTTGTGTTCAATGCCTCCGTTATCCAGGCTCCAGCCAGCCCAAAGGGATCCATTTGTCCAAACAGCTGATTGTGAAATCGGCCATGAGAGGTTTTTACAGAATATTGAATAACCTGCTGACAGATCTGCTCGATGTCAGAGTTTGTGGATGTTTCGTTTTCCTTGATTGTCAGGTCTATATGTTTCTAAGAGGAATATCAATATTGACATGTTCACTAGAATGCTTTTTAATAGTAGAAAAGACAAATCATGCTTGAAGATTTTTGAACCCGTCAATAGATTACGACGGCGGATCAATAAAGTGATCAAGCAGCTGCACAATAAACTCTTTCAATGATCAGCATTAAAGCCGCTTATCGGGAACTGTCTGGGCTGCTTTGACGGGACGTCTAGACCTCGTCTACGAAGTGGGGGGCACTAACCTTTAGTTCGTCCGGCTGCATAAAATCGACTATTTTCTGTTCCTTCCACAGTTCTGGATCGGTACAAAGAGTATCCTCCTTTTCTACCAGTTTGAAGACATGCTGTAGAATCTTCCAATCGTTCATTAACCCCTCGCGGACTCCATCAACAATGGAAGCATTATCAATTGCTCCATCCATTTTACTATATTTCTGACTGAACCTCTGCGGACAGCTATTCAACTGGGAATGACAGGCGATTGCGCATAGCGCTGCATTGGACCTGATTCCGAGCTGTGATGTGGCGATCGAATGCTCGTTAAAGTTGTAAATTAATTAACCATACTACATACAAATGAATAAGTACCTACACACGTGCATATGTATGTTATGTTGGCTTGTGTTCGTGCCGGTATGCCACGAAATTAGGGTGAACCTTAATTTTAGATACTTGTAAGAAAAAGGTTTATACAACCTTATCAGTTAATCAAATGCTCACGCTTTCTAACACTTAGCAACAACATTAATTAGTTTTGCACGTATATTTTAGTTTATTCACATTCGTATTCATATTCACCATTTTCGAAGCCTCCGCCAGTCATTTGTACACATACAATCGCTTTCAAAGCCGGTTTGTTGTTAAGCGACAATAACTTACGTACTTCAAGTTAATTGCATTTGCGATTCAAATCAAAATCTTATCGGGATTTTAAAGTGGCTCATCCGACTAGTCTGAATATAATCGTATATACAGACATAAGTACACAGATTGCAGAACTGTTATCAAATACCCCTTTTGAAAAGTTTATTTGAGACACAGAAACGCTGGACAATAAATGCAGAGGGTACTTTATTTAACTCTTATATTAGCTATATATTTTTTACAGTAAAGAAACTTGACTGACTATATATGGTTCGTGTTCTATTACTGGGATTGTTATTTTTGTGCTAATATTAAAGGACAATAGATTTAATGCAATGCCAAATATTGAAAGAACTGAAATCTTTGAAAACGCGCGCCAATTATTGCACTACGAACAGTGTGACCCAATACTATTGTGTTCAATGCAAAAATGGCGTCTAACCGATAATGTAGCCATGGTATCGACTGATTACAGTCATCGCTGTTAATAACACTTAAGCAACATGTTAAATTCTGTAATCATTGAACATATGGTTTAGAAGGCACGAAACGACAATTTAGAGCATTATTTACTTCGCTTATTTTGTTTATTGTTTTTAAATCGAAAATATAAATTGTAAACATGGGACGCGCCGAAGTTGGTACGCCCAAGTACCTTGCCAACAAGATGAAGGCAAAGGGCTTGCAGAAGCTGCGCTGGTACTGTCAGATGTGCGAGAAACAATGCCGTGACGAAAATGGCTTTAAGTGCCACACAATGAGTGAGTCCCATCAGCGGCAGCTGCTCCTATTTGCGGACTCACCTGGCAAGTTTCTGCACAACTTTTCCAAGGAGTTCTCCGATGGCTATATGGAACTGCTGCGTCGCCGCTTTGGCACCAAGCGCACGAACGCCAACAAAATATATCAGGAGTACATTGCGCACAAGGAGCACATTCACATGAACGCCACCCGCTGGTTAACGCTATCCGATTATGTTAAGTGGCTGGGCCGCACTGGTCAAGTGGTGGCCGACGAAACGGAAAAGGGATGGTTTGTCACGTACATTGACCGCAGCCCGGAGGCCATGGAGCGCCAGGCGAATGCAGAACGCAAAGAAAAAATGGAAAAGGATGATGAGGAACGCATGACGGAATTTATTGAGAAGCAAATTAAAAAAGCAAAGTCAAATTACGGGGAGGAGGATGAATCGCAGGAGAAATATACGGAACTGAAGCGTGAAGAGGAGCAGCCCCTAAAGCTGGACATCCGATTGGAGAAAAAATTCCAGCCCGAATCGATATTGGGCAAATCGGCGCTACATACGAAACGCACGGCTGCCGAGTCAGACGAGAAAGTTTTTAAGAAACCCAAGCCCCTGCCCGCAGAGAGCAGCAGATCCGCGTTGGATGAGATAATCAAGCTCGAGGAAAGGCATAAAGAACGAGCCAATCGCAAGGACTACTGGCTTCATCCAAATATTGTAGTTAAATTTATTTCAAGCTCCATGGGCGATAAGTTCTACAAACAGAAAGCTGTGGTGCAAGAAGTCATCGACAAATATCGGGCAAAAATTAAGTTCTTGGAGAGTGGAGAAAAGTGTAAAGTTGATCAGGTAATTTTACGAATATCTTAAAAAAATCAAAGCACTTATCAATTCCATATTTTTAGGCCCATCTGGAGACAGTAATACCCGCCCTGGACAAGGAAGTGCTTGTGGTGAACGGCGCATACCGCGGCTCAGAAGCATTGCTTAAAAAGCTGGACGAGCGCAAATATTGTGTTAGCATTGAGATACTGCACGGTCCATTGAAGGGGCGCATTGTGGAGAACGTACAGTACGAAGATATCTGTAAATTATATGGAACGTAGCTCGCACACAGCTATATAAGTTAATTTTTTAAAATAAGCACATATTTTACTGGAATATTTTTTACTAACTACTTACGTTATGGTTTTATGAACATAAAATTTAAACGCTCAACTTAAGATTAAACAATTTCTTTTAAAATCTGCGGAAAATTTCGATCATGAATCTGTTAACCTCTTCCCATTCAAGATATGCGTAAAATTGGATTATGAATGCAAAACTAATTGGTGTCATAACGTTAGCTTAAAATTGTTTGCAAAACAAGCAAAATATTTTATTGGTTCGTAGATTCTCAAAGGAACGTATCTCTTAAATATGCGATCAATATTTGTTTGGCTTGGTGCTCTTAGCATCTTTTCAATTAGAAGTGCAACTCCCATATCATCTATAGACGATAATTGGGCATTCAGTCTGAAAAAACTAGCCGATGGCACCGTTTTTGATTCAATCATGAATTTGGCAGAAAAAACGGTCAATACAGCCTATAAATATGGATCAAGCGTCGTGGAATTCACCTCCGATTATTTACAGAATGAATGTGAGTACGAATAGCAATATCAATCAGTTCAAGCCGTTTTATATTCGCATCCCTACACTCGACAGGTATCAGAATGGCACGACTCATGGCCGTACCCGAACATAAAAGTCCAGACATAAGAAACATGCAATTTCAGTTCATGACACCCTGCGGCAGCTATAAAGTACCTATACTGGAGGCAGAAACTCTCTGGGCGCACCAAAAATTTCAACAGAATCGCAAATTGGTAGTTCTAGCTTCTGGATGGTTGAACACGATCAACTATTCGCAAGCAATAGAAACGATAGGGAGGCCTTTTATGTGTCGACGCGATATTAATTTTGTGGTATACATCGAGCTTTACAGGTTAAAGGTTGAGCGTGATTGAGTACCTTCATTTCAGGCTGTAGATGTGTCTCGTTATGTAGATACGCTTTATACGTGGTCCGCCCTAAACACGGATATAATAGGCAAGCACATTGCCTTTGGCTTAGCGAAATTACATGATATGATGCCATTGATCGATATTCATTTAATTGGTTTGTTCCTTTCCTACAAGCATTGCAGTATAATTATAATTTATTTTTCTAGGTCATTCACTGGGTGCGCATATTATGGGGTCGGCAGGTCTCGAATTTCAGCGACTCACAAACCGACGGGTGCCTCGCATAACTGGTCTGGATCCTGCCATGCCCTGTTTTCTAAAAAGATCCAAATTTCGCAGTTTAAGCAAGGGAGATGCCATGCTAGTAGATGTTATACACACAAATCCTGGCTTTCTGGGACAGCGTTTTCCAACTGGCGATATTGACTTTTATCCAGCAGGTGAAGATGCCCTTAAGCCCGGTTGCCTGTTTATCGATTGCTCGCACAACCGTGCATTCCAATATTTTGCCGAAAGTGTTTATCCACGTCGGGAAAGAAGCTTTTTGGCCTACAAATGCAGAACAACTAAAGAGCTGGAAACTAAAGCCTGTAGCTCCTCAACAACTACAATGGGATATAAGATTGATTGGGCCGCTAGGGGGGTGTACTATGTCGATGTGAGGAGCGCGAGTCCATTTGGCATGAAGTCGGCAACAGCAAGAACAATGGATTTGATGGACGATAGCGATTATTGTAAATGCAAGCATCATTAAATGTAATTAAATTCACTGAGAAGTCAATAAGCTATATATTTTTATTCTTTCTATCAGCATGGAAGACTTTGCCGACTTCAGAATAATGTATAGTCGATGTTGTGTTGAACGTCGTACTCAAGGCATAATTTTTAGAGGCGCCGAGGTGATGTTACTAACATCTTCCATTTGTCAAGGACTGAAAAGATCAGCGGAGTAAAAATCCCCAAGATACTCGCACAAGGGGTTCACCTTAACGAACAGTCTTGAAACTGCTCAAGGCGCGGTACAGACTAAAGGACTCGGGTGGCCCGGCAGGATATATGAAAAGTGTCTCTCTTAGTCGCCTCGTACGACAAGCGATGACATGCTGTGGTGGTATTCTAATGCCCGCCAACGGGAGTATCAAGAACATGGTTAAACGGAGATGCCAAAATATATGTATGGACCCGGTTAATTCAGACTATGAGAAAATAACAATCAGGTAGACAGGCGTGGATATTACTAAAACGACTTATCTTGTCTACCTTCTGCCGCCTGTTACATACATATGCACAAAATCAATATACCCTAGATACTCATTTGCAATGATTTTAGGGTATAATAAGACTTAAGAGATATGCTTATATCGAATATAATTAATTTTTAAAATATAACTAAACAACTATGTATATAAATAAATAAAATGAAGCTGAGACTGTCGTGCTTTGTGAAGCCCTAAGATCTCTTTTCTGCAGTTTTAATTGGCAGTTTCTTAGTTTTTATATGATTTCCCTTAGAAACATGTTTAAAGTATCTAGTTAGAGCAAGCTAACTTTGTAGGGGTTGAATGTACCGAAATACAACACATCTGTTGACAATGACATTATTATACATTTGGGTAAAATAAACGATTTTATGAAAACATATGTTTACTGACCCAATAATTACACTCTCTCGGGGGTATATTTATTTTGTCGAAAGGTGTGTGATGAATTAAAAAATCATTTTCGAACCTATAAAGCATAAGTGTGTGTGTCAAGTCGTGGACACGGTGAGATAGCTAAGGGAACCTTCTTCTAATTATTTTTTACCCACAGACAGCAAAAGGGATGTCAAAACTTTCAAAATGGGATTAAAATAAACTATAGCCAAGGGGACTTTATTTTATAACAACTTTTCTTTGCCAAATTGGGTAAGTTAATTAATTAATCTGAAAGTGTATTTAATTTTCGGCATCCCAGCTGTTCTTATGCCTTTTCACTTCTGGCAACAATGCAAACAAAGATTTTTAAAAATTCCTCGACCTATTTGCAAAAACTTTGCGTTCATGTCTAGAAGCTAAAAAATACTTTAAACGGCCACAGTTCGTCGCTGACTTAGTTGCACAGCATATATTTTAAAATGCGTCCCCAATTCGATGGCCTAAGAGCTCTAAGTATAATTCTCATCAGCACAGGGTATACTACAGGGGCTAACGACTCAACAATTAGCTGGTGGCAGGGAATTCCCAACGCCTTAACGGATATTCTTACCTTGAAAATGAACATTTTTACAGCACTTCCGCTCGAATTGGCCGCAACAGTTATTGATACCTTGTGTGAGTACATGGGGAAATGGTGATATGCTTTCACTTAGTATTCCATCTATCTATAGTATCCCATCCCAACGCTTGACAGGCTCCTCCACGCTGTTTGTTGGAAGCGTACCTTCGCAAATACAGCCGGACATAACGAAAATGCACTTTCAGTATATGACGCCATGCCTGAATTATAGCGTTCCATTATTGAAAGCCGAAAAGCTGTGGAATCATCCGAAATTTCGACAGAATCGTAAATTAGTTATCCTGGCTACGGGCTGGACAAATACCGTTAACGATTCTGCTGCCATAGCGATGATATCGAGGGCTTTTATGTGTCGGCCTGCTGTTAATTTTGTGGTACCTAGTAAAGTATCCACCAAGTATACACCTATATATATATTCATCTTAGATTGTAGATGCGGCCTATTACGTGGACACGCTGTACAAGTGGTCGGCCCTGAACACAGATCTCATTGGGGAGCACCTAGCCGTCGGCTTACAGCATTTGATTAAGGTGACGCCATTGATTGACATTCATTTGATTGGTGAGTTTGGCAGCTACATTTTCATCGACTAGATCAAAAAAATGATTGTCCTAGGTCATTCATTGGGCGCCCATATTATGGGCACTGCTGGTCGCACATTCAAGCAACTAACGGGACATCTAGTAACTCGTATAACTGGTCTCGATCCGGCCAAGCCCTGTTTTCGTAATGAAAAATCCCTGCCCGGACTGACGCGGGGCGATGCTGAGTTGGTGGACGTTATACACACGAATATTGGCATTTTGGCGAAACGAGATCCTTTGGGCGACATTGACTTTTATCCAGGAGGTGCACATCCCATTAAGCCCGGCTGCCTGACTATTGGCTGCTCCCACACGCGTGCTGTTGAGTATTTTGCGGAGAGTGTCTACCCGCAACAGGAGCGAAGTTTCCTGGGCTTTAAATGCATGTCGTGGAAAGAGCTCGAATGGCGAAAATGTCAGACCGACAAAACTTCAACAATGGGCTACTTGATTAACCCAAAGGCGAGTGGCATATATTATGTTGACGTAAATGGCCAAAGTCCTTATGGCAAAAACATTAATCCGTTGAAACGAGAACGTTTTGGATGCGCCAAGAGCAAGTGTAAAACTCAGTTATTAAGTAAAGTTCAGTCTTAACAACAGCACGCATTCAAACATCTCTTATTCCAAGGTAGACAGCATAAGTCGAGAGTCGAGTCCTATCCAGGCGTCCCGAATTTCCTTTTGAACTAAATTCCTATTTCTTATTCTATTTATACAACTATATTTATTATTAATCAATTATTTCAGTAAGATCTAGATCATCATCGAAGGCCTCTGCGATGCCTTTCTGGCTCTGGTATACTTTCTCCTGTGTCTCGGCAATTTTCCACAGCTCGTCATCATCGTCGCCATTAAGCATGGATCTGTTTGCGCCCCCTTTTATTGAGGCTCTGACTTTATTATTCTGCTGAACTGGCCCGGGAGCGCGTTTCTGCCGATTGCCCATCAAGATTTGGCTTTCCTCGAAATAGTTGTTCGGGTGATTGATTGTCGGCTCCACCGTCGAGTTGTGCGTCAGCATAAAGTATTTTCCGCAGGCGAATTGGTAATGATTGCGCGAAACAAAAAACAAGACCTCATCGATGGCGCCCGGCGAGAGGCCATATGAAGAGAGTTTTGCTTTAAGCGCAGTTTGGTCCAACGATTTGTATGGGCAGCCGTGGCAGTCGCCAGGCGCTGCCATTTCCTTAATGATCTTCAGGCAAGAGTAGGGCGTATAATTGACCATGGAGCCCTTCTTGCCATAGTTGTGGTAAATGTTGTACTCGTAGCTACGCGTAAACTTATCGACGTCCATTTTCTTAGTGAACTCCTCGCGCCAAAAGCGCAATGAATCCTCGAGGGTGACACCAATGCCCTTTAGGAAGAGGCCGTACTGCATGCGTCCACCGTGTTTGATATGGTGCTGGCTGCGTATGTGATCGTGGCACATACGCATGCACAGTGGCATGGAAGTTTTGGATAGCTGATCCAGAGACTCAATCGGCACCGAAGCATCTTTGCATACCGTGTAGTCCTTGCCCGTATACGAGTTGTGCAGGGACTTGATCATGCGCGAGATGCGCTCGTCTGCCTCGACGTCAGCAATAAAGGATTTAGCTGCTTGCATGCCACGTTCAATCTCGTCCAGCTGCCTGGCGCCCACAATTGACACCATGTCGTGTGTGTTCACATAGGCAAAGCCGGCCTTTAGGTAACAGCGCCGGGTCCGCACCAAATCCAAAACTTGTGTGAAGGGTACTTTGTAGAACTCGAGCAGCTCAATCTTTGATACACTCTGGCCCACAGTGCTTTCATAGAGACCGTCCTTGACCTCGTCCTTCTGTTCTTCTGTCAATGGGAGAATGTGAAAGCTGTTGGCCTCGAGAAACTGCTTGATTTCAGCTGTGTTAAGTGCGGCGAATTTATATTTAAAGAACTCCATTTCCCGTGCTACGAACCAGCGCAACAAATCCTCTGAGCGACAATATGCCAAGCGCAGTATGAAGTGTGACAAATAGTCACGCCGACGCATTTGTAAATCCGACTCATGTTTGGCACCACTGCTTGTCGTGCCCATGCGTAAATAGCCCCGGAGTCCATCTCTGCTCATTTCGCCATTCACATATTCCTTCCAGTCCTCGGAGAGCAGCCGCAGTCCCTTTGTTGTGGCGCGATCAAAAACTCGCAGCAGGCGCAGACGCTCCAAAGCGAGTTCTTCAAATTCATCAATGTGAATATCCTCCGTTGGCGGATAGTGATAAAGCATCACATTGTGCGGATACTTTGCTTCCAAACTAACCACTTCAACTTTCACATCGTGCCGTGCTCGTTTCTTTAAATTAAAATCCATGTTGGCGAACACGACTCAATTGTTTTCGGTTTGCAGTGCTACTTGCAAAAATGGCGCCAAAAATATGTTGAAACAGCTGTCGCACAGTTCGATAAGTGAGTAAGTACTGCCGTTGAAAACGCCTCACTATCGATAAAAGTATCGATATAATGGTTTAAATTTTATTGGTAATTTCCACTCCATATTTTTTACCACACAGTCATGATTTATAAGCTGCAATTACCAATCACTTGTTCATTTTTATATCTTATCTAAACACTTGGTCTCTGCAGCTGAAGTACTCAAATACTAAGGGCTATATAAATCTTAAAATTTGACAAACGGTTTTCTTTGAGCTTAAAATATTTTACAATAATTCATTCTATTTCGTAATTAAAAAATGTAGTTTATGTATATCAGGTACTTAAAAAAATGACTAGAATATTTGCATTCATTATACCCTTGCAGAGGGTATTATAATTTTGTCGTGAAATGTGTAACGCATAGAAGGAGACATCTCCGACCCCATAAAGTATATATATTCTTGATCAGTATCAACAGCCGAGTTGATATAGCCATGTCCGTCTGTCCGTCTGTCTGTTTCTATGCGAACTAGTCTCTCAGTTTTAAAGCTATCTTTATGAAACTTTGCAGAATTCCCTCTTTCTGTTGCACGCAGCTCATATGTCAAAACCAGCTGGATCGGACCACTATATCATATAGCTGCCATAGGAACGATCGGTCGAAAAGTAGGTTCTTGTATGAAAAACATTTTTGTTTATAAAGTTATCTTGACTAAACTTTGTATTTATTAGTTTTACTACGCTCCCCATATATATGCAAAATCCTATTAAGATCGGGCAACTATATCATATAGCTGCCATAGGAACGATCGGTCGAAAATTAAGTTTTTGTATGGAACATTTTTATGTTTTTCAAGATATCTTGACCAAACTCGGTATTTATTAGTTTTACTAGGCTCCCCATATATATGCAAAATCCTATTAAGATCGGTCCACTATATCATATAGCTGCCATAGGAAAGATCGGTCGAAAATTAAGTTTTTGTATAGAAAATTTTTATGTGTTTCAAGATATCTTAACCAAACTCGGTATTTATTAGTTTTACTACGGTCCCCATATATATGCAAAATTCTATTAAGATCGGACAACTATATCATATAGCTGCCATAGGAACGATCAGTCGAAAATTATGCTGTTGTATGGAATTTTTTTGTTTTTCAAGATATCTTGACCAAACTCGGCATTTATTAGTTTTACTATGCTCCCTCCACTTATGCAAAATCTTATTCACATCGGGCAACTATATCATATAGCTGCCATAGGAACGATCGGTCGAAAATTAAGTTGTTGTATGGAAACCTGTTTTGTTTTTCAAGATATCTTAACCATACTCGGCATTAACTATTTTCCCTGTGCTTCTTAGATACGGGCAAAGCACTATGAGCATTTTGAAAAGGTTGGGTCTGCAAGGGTATTAAATCTTCGGTGTGCCGAAGATAGCACTTCTTTCTCGTTTTGGTGTGAAATTATGCAGTCCAGTATCTTTAGACATTGGAATCTTTTGTGCCTATGCCAATTAACTCTAATGACTTTCTTAGGCGCTTCCAAAACAGTTTGCGTTCCTCCAATGTTGGCTGTTTATTTCCTTTACTTGGCCATTTAATATAGGTTTTTATACCCATTAGGTATTGTAGCGTCTTTGGACGTTTACTGCGTGGTATTTCCTCCAAGAATACGAGTATTAAATGCTCCTTGCTCATTTCAAAGACGCTGTCGAAAGTAAAGTAGTTGACGCAAGTTTATTGGTACTATGGGTTTTATTGCTTACCGATGTTGGGCCAGATACATTTCGAATTGACACCAATGACTGAGCAGAAACTTTGATGATATCAGTAACATTAGTGAGCGCGATCGATCCATGCTTGAAATAATATTATCCAGTATAGTTACTCCGATCTGCAAAGAAAAAATACAAGTTCGGCATGCATATTTTAGTTGTAATAATTTGACAAACCTGAAAGTCACGTTCGTGAAGACATATCGAAATATCTCCTGATTTCTCAACATTTGGTAGCAGCTCGTCTAAGACCCACTGGCGATCATTTTGGCAGTAGCTTATAAAAATGTCATATATCACGCTGGGATTATTTTCGGATAGACGATGAAATTTATCAAGAGACTCCTTTGAGGCGGTAGACAAAAGCGCCGCCGATTTCAGTGAAGCATAATAATAATGTATATGCCAACGCTTCAGATATATTATAAGCCCCAGAATGAATACACCCAGAATGCTGCCAACTACAGTTGTCACTATCTTAAAGGTGTTGTGCAGCTTTTCTTCAAAATCAACCAATGATCGGCTCTGGCAGACTAACTCATCCACCTGCAATTTATCCGTCTCGTTAAAGCACCAATAATGCTTTGCATCGTAATCAAGTAACTGAAATTTTAACGAAGTATCGTTCACCGTTTTTTGGATAGATGAGGGACATTGTTTGGTTAGTAGGTCTTTGGCTAGAAAACGCAGACTGGGTATTTTCTTGAGCCGCTTGAAATCTTTGATGTTTTTATAGCTGTCGATGAGCTGCGGCAAATAGCGTCGTTTCCACAACTGGTGTTCAATGTACCCGGTAAGGGATTTACTCAGCTGATTTATACTACCAATATTTGCTGAAATCAGCTCAACAGCGTGTTGTAGAAAGTTGAATGAACAGTCGGCTTGCTTATTATTGTTTGCAGCTACTTCGACCACCTCACGGAGAATACAACTACAAAGGAAGTTGTTATCCCCGAGACTGAGGTATTCCAGCGATTCAAAATCCTTCATCATCTCGGTGGTCAGCATGTTGACGTTGTTGCTGCGTACATTGAGAACCCGCAGTGCCGTGTTGTTAAAAAACACACTCTTATACCAGTTGCCAATGTGGTTGGAGCTCAGATCAAGCAGTTGTAAGCTTACCAAAGACTGGAATACTTCGACCGATAGGGCGTTAATATTGTTACCTGCCAAGCCCAACAACTGCAATTTTCTCAGCGGTTTTAACCAGTTGATATCCTTAAGATTCGAGTGCTCAAAGTAAAGAAATTTAAGCGTATCACCGATACTGTCGAAAGCGTCATCGACAATATTATACGACACGAAAGGATTACCGGACATATCAAGTCCCTCTAGAGCTGTGTTCTTAAAAAGCCCATTGCTCACCATGGGAAACGATGTGTAGCACAAACTCAGATACTTGAGCTTGTTCCCAAGATGTGTGAAGGCAACTGCGCTATTTCGTGTTATTTTCGAGTGTGAGAGGTCCAGATACACGAGCTTTGGTAACAGTTTAAATGCAGTCTGATGGATCTTTAGACCATACACCAGATTTAAGACAACTTCAAGCGTGGGCATCGATAACTGGTAATTATAGTTTAAAACGTTCGTAAACGACAAGTCTAGATATTGTACTCCCTGTATATAGTAAAATGTATCGAAATTTATGGTCATTATCTTGTTGTACGAAATGAAGAGTTTCCGAAGGTTTGTCACATTTTTAAATGCCTCTTTGCTCAAATACTCGATGCTGCAGTTACTGATTTCAAGTTCCAAAAGGTGCGGCAGATTCGGAAAGGTTGCCCAAGCAATGCTCTCTTCTAAACAGAAAAAAATATGAAATAAATTTAAGTTAGGCTTGAATCAAATGGTCTTTCAAATTACAGTAATGATTTTGATGGTATGTGGAATGAGGAAGAATATTGATTTGTGTCTTACTTGACGTGCCAAATATTATGTGCTTTATTTGAAGTTTCCGTATAAAATCCTCATAAATCAATTCTTGTGTATTTGAGTTGTGAATGTGTTTGTTGTTCTGGTAGTATAGCGAACATTCCCGATCATATAGATCTAAGTTATTCGTTTGATTGTTTGCAAAAAGCTCTTCGCATTTATGTTGTGTGTCACTTGGGGTAAATCGAGTCTCTTGTAAAAACCGCTCAATGGCTGAAATTTAGCAAAGAGCCTGTAGATAAGTCTGAATGTGTGCGACTGTTACACTTTATGTGGTTGGTAGATATCTAACCAACTTTTCTACTTACCTTCTGCGTCATGATTAAGGGCTGTGAACTGGTTACCTTGTAGAGATAAATATTTTAAAGATCCCGTCATTGTTGATAAAGTTTGGAACGGTACTTTATTTAATTTGTTGTAGGCAGCAGAGAAAGCTTCGACTTTTTTAAAACTAAATCGGCGCGCAAATTTCGTTTTATTTAACAAATCCTCGTCTTCAGATATGTTACCATACGAAAGATCTAAGTGCATATTTGTCACTGTAAAAAATAAAAACCAATTAATTATCTTATAAAATTAATATAATAAACAATAGTAAACTATTTTTCAATTAAGAATCTCGTTCAGTTAAAATCTCTTCAAAAATATTAAAAACGGTAATAGTAAATATGGCTACTATCGATATCTAAGCACCACACTGTATTATCGATTAATCGATACATGCCACGATGTATACACAACTCAACATATGTTTGTCAGCTGTATGTATAAAAATTTACTAAATCACTGAAGTAAAAATGGAAGAAGTTTGTCGCATTTGCAGAAGCAACTGCGTCACTCTAGTAAATATCTTTGACCAGCTGGAGCAGGACCCTCCTCTGGTGGACATGCTGATTGAGTGTGGCAACTGTAAAATAAATCCTAATGATCCGTTGCCTCAGAACATATGCCTGGCCTGCATATTGGATGCTCAAAATGCATTTCAATTCAAACGCAGATGCGAACACAGTCAACAGTACTTTTTGCTGTTGCTAGGTATTGGAAACAAGGATAATTCCGACTGCGAAGACGTACGTGTTCAATGTACACTCGAAATTAAAGAAGAGCCGTTGGAAAATGTACCGACTGAAAGCAGTGTCAATAACGGAAGCGTCAAAGACACTGAAAGTAGCTCAGCGACGTCGTTGCCAGACGTTGAAAAGAGAAAAAAATCCAACTGCGAGGATGACGTCCCTAATTCCCAGTGTCTCCTCAATGTTAAAGAAGAGCCATTGGAAAATATCCTGCCTGAAAACGGTGTCGATAACGAACGCTTGGAAGACAATGGAGTAAGCTCAACAGCGTCGTTGTGCGATCAACAAAACATTGAGGAGCCTGACTCCAGGACAAGTGACAAAAAGAAATCGTATCCATGTTTGACATGTGGAAAAGTGTTTAGTCATAAAAGCGACTTGACAAAACACTCGCGCATTCATAACGGTCGTTACAAGTGCACCCACTGTTCGAGGGCTTTCAATTCATCAAGTACTTGCAAGTTGCACATCCGACTTCACACTGGCGAACGTCCATTCAAATGTACGCATTGTACAGCAGAATTCTTAAGGAACGATGACCTAAAAAGACACATGTTTAAGCATACTGGTGAACGCCCGTACGAATGTCCTCACTGCTTAAAGCGATTTACTCACCGCAGCATTCTCAATAAGCACATTCGAACACATACCAATGACCGGAAACACAAGTGTCCACATTGCCAAAAGGCCTTCACTGATGGCTACACTCTCAAAGTACATATTCGCAGATGTACTGGCGAGCGGCCATTCCAATGTGCCGACTGTCCGAAGGCCTTTGTATTGAAAAAAGAACTACAGCTGCACCAAAACACTCACTTGGATTATAAGTGTCCCAGCTGCGCGGGACGCTGCTCAGCTGCTCAGCTAAAAAGGCATTCCAGTAAGCACACGATTGGCGAAGAAGCACCACATGAGATGCCAACAAGAGATGATGGTTTTAAAGAAGATAACCCATGTTCGCTTTCTTTGGTTGCACCTCACTCTGAGATATTAATCGCTGAGTCGTCTGAAGATGTGACCACCGAAGGACCCATGGAAGGCAAAAATTTGGATGAAAGGCACCCATTTGATCAGAAAACATTTCAGTGTGCTACTTGCGACAAGAGTTTTGCAACAAAGGGTCGTTTGATCCAACATTATGGCGTCCATACCGATGAACGTCCGTTTAAGTGTGAGATCTGTTCGAAAGCGTTCAAACAACGATCACATCTCACTAAGCATAGTGTTACTCACACAAGAAATAACTAGAATTAATCGATATTTAATGGGTAATGTATGTTGTTATTATATTAATCAATTAATATTAACTACCCATTGTAGAAACCAAAACCTTAAATAATTAAAATCGTTTTAAGTTGGAGTATACATTCCAAGTAGAATAACTCTGAGTTTTCTGCCGGACGACATAGAAGGCAATCAGATGTCGCAACAAACAAAATTCGCGTATTGATAAACTAAAACAGGATCACATTTGACAACTGTTAGCAAAAAGTGTGATGTTTCAAAAAACGTTATTGTAAAAGTTCTATTTATTTTAATTTTTCGATAGCTCGATAACAGTTTTTAAAATAAAAACAAATCATGTATATACTATCGATATCTACCTGCCACGATGTATATCGATTCTAAACATATGTTTGTCAGCTGGATGCATTAAGAAAAATTCACGAATAACACAAAACTTCGACCAACAACAAAACAGTTCTTGCATCAAATAGCGAAAAGGTGAAAATGGAAGAGGTTTGTCGCATTTGCACAAGCAATTGCGTCTCTCTAGTAAATATCTTTGACCAGCTGGAGCAGGACCCTCCTCTGGTTGACATGCTTAATGAGTGCGGAAACTGTAAAATAAGTCCTAATGATCCGTTGCCCCAGAACATATGCCTGGCCTGCATATTGGATGCTCAGAATGCATTTCAGTTCAAACGCAGGTGTGAGCAGAGCCAGCAGTACTTTTGGCTGTTGTTAGACATTGAAAACAAGAAGAATTTGGATTGGGAAAAAGACGTGCTACGTTCCCAGTGTTCTCTCGAAATAAAAACAGAACCGTTGGAAAATAACCCGCAAGAAAACTTTGTCGATAACGAAAGCTTCCAAAATAGTGGAATAAGCACAGCTGAAGAGTTTCTAGTCGTTGAACATAAAGGTTATTCCGACTGCGAGGACGTCCCAAGTTCACAGTCTTTTCACGACGTTAAAGAAGAGCCATTGGAAAGTACCCTGCCAGAAAACAATGTCGATAAAAAAGGCTTCGACCACAATGGAGTAAGCTCAGCAGCATCGTTGTGCGACCGACAGAACAACATTGATGATAAAAACAATTCATATTCATGTCTAACGTGCGGGAAAGAGTTCAGCTATAAAAAAGACCTAACAAAACACTCGCGGATTCATAACGGTCGTTACAAGTGCACCCACTGCTCGAAGGCTTTCTATTCATCAAGTACTTGCAAGTTGCACATCCGACTTCACACTGGTGAACGTCCATTCAAATGTAAATATTGTACAGAAGCATTTTTAAGAAAAGATGACCTCAAAAGACACATTTTCACACATACCGGCGAGCGCCCGTACGAATGTCCTCAGTGCTTAAAGCGATTTACTCACCGCAGCATTCTCACTAAGCACATTCGAACACATACCAATGAGCGAAAACACAAATGTCCACACTGCCAAAAGGCCTTTAGGGATAACTACAATCTCCAAGTACATATTCGCAGATGTACTGGTGAACGGCCATTCCAATGTTTCGAATGCCCAAAGGCCTTTGTGTTAAGAAAAGAACTACAGCTACACCAAAAAACTCACTTGGACTATAGGAGTCCGAGTTGCCCAAAACCCGTCAGCACTAAGAGGAAGACGATTGCCGTAAAAGCACCAAAAGAGAATTCAATACATACAAAATTAAGACTGTCCTTGGATTTGCCTCAATCGGATATCTTATCAATTGAGATGCCAAACGCAGATGATAGTTCTGCAGAGCTGTCTGAAGATACAACTAATGAAGAAGGCATCGAGGGAAGAAAATCGAACTATATACGCACGTCCAGTCAGAAAAGTTTTCAGTGTTCGACTTGCGACAAGAGTTTTGCTACAAAGAGTCGTTTGACCCGACACTATAGCGTCCATACCAGTGAGCGTCCATTTCAGTGTGATCTTTGTTTAAAGTCGTTTAAACAAAATGTAAGCCTCATTCGGCACAGTGTTATACATACAAGAAAACATCCTAGCACCTAGAAGGCTTAAGTACCCATTGTAGAAAATAACACCTAATGTAAATAAAATCATTTTAAGTTTAAAATCATTTTAATTTAAAATTTGTAACACAATTCAGTTCTGAAAATGAAATAAATAACGTCGCTACAATAGTTATCGTTATCGAGGCAACACAACGTTTATCGATACATTCCACAATGTATATCGATACTGAACATATGTTCGTCAGCTGTACAGATACCTAAAAAACTCACTAGTTGCACATAAATGAAAATGGAAGCGGTTTGTCGCATATGCAGAAGCAACTGCGTCACTCTAGTAAATATCTTTGACCAGCTGGAGCAGGAGCCGCCACTAGTTGACATTCTGAATGAGTGCGGCAATTGTAAAATAAGCCCTACTGATCCGTTGCCTCAGAACATATGCCTGTCCTGCATATTGGATGCTCAAAATGCATTTCAATTTAAGCGCAGGTGCGAGCACAGCCAACAGTACTTTTGGCTATTGCTTGGTGTTGAAAACAAGGATATTTCCGACTGCGAAGACGTAGGTGTTCAATGTACACTCGACATCAAAGAAGAGCCTTTCAAAGACCCTGAAAGTTGCTCAGCGACTAATTCCGACTGCGAAGACCTACCTCTCGAATGTACTCTCCATATTAAAGAAGAGCCGTTGGAAAATATCCCGCAAGGAAGCAGTCCTGGTAACCAAACCCTTGAATGTAATGCAAAAAGCTCTGAGGCTTTGCAGCTAGGTGTTGAAAAGAAAGAGAATTCCGACATCGAGAAAAACGCAACTGCCCAATGTACTTCTGAAATCAAACAAGAACCATTGGAAAATATTCTGCAAGAAAGCTTTAAAGTATATGAAAGTAGCTCAGCGGCGTTGTTGCGACAAAACAGCAATGAAAAGGTCGACGCCAAGAAAAGTGGCAAACCTAAATTTTATTCATGTTTAACTTGCGGAAAATTGTTTATTGCTAAAAGGAACCTGACGACACACAAGCGCATTCATACAAACGCATTCAACGGTCAACGACCATTTAAATGTAGAATATGTCAAGAAAAATTTTTAACTGTCAATCACCTGAAGAGACACAATTTTAATCATGCCAACGAACGATCGTATAAATGTCCTCACTGCTTAAAGACATTTGCCCACCGTGACAATCTCAATAAGCACATTCGGGTACACCTCGAAGACCACGAGCACAAGTGTCCGCACTGCCAAAGGCTATTTAGGTATGCCCACATTCTCGACGAACATATTCGCACAGATAAATGCACTAACTCAGGGTACAAGTGTCCTCTCTGCCTGAAAATGTTATACTCTGAGGGTTATCTAAGGCGGCATATGAGCAATCACTCTAGAAAGCAGACGATTGGCGAAAAAGTACCAAAAGAGATGCAAACAAGAATTGATAATTCTGAAGATAGAAACCCAAGCCCGTTGTCTTTGGTTAAGTCTTAATCAGAGAACTTATCGATTGAGACGGAAGGAAAAGATTCGAATAAGTTGCTCGAGCACCTTTAAAACCAGATGCGCCCATGTCGGACATGAAAGCACAAAGTACCCTTAAGCATTAAACATTATCTACTTTAATAACTGAAATAAATAATACGCGTAAAACCAAACAAAGATTAACTACTTTTTATATTTCTATCGGTCTGGGTTTGATTATATTTCGTTAGTCATATACTCACAGTGCTTGGCATTGGGTGGCTTAAGAGTTCCATTGGGAAATGTCCACCACAAGATTTCCTGCTTTACGTTATCCAGAAGACAAGCATTTCCATCGTCGGTGCCGTATTTCACGAATAACGACTCAAGATTTTTATTTTCAATGGAATCAGTGCTGCTGTCGTCCTCATTAGTGTCTTGGGACAGGCTCTCTATTGCAGTATTCAATCTTTTTCCCAAATGCGACCCTAGTTGAAGGGGTGTTACTTTTTCAGATTCGTTGACCCTAAAAGTTTCTATCAAATCACGCGGCGCTGACTCCAAAGCTTTCAAACTTGACTCGATTATGTTCCAATGAAGAACAATTATTATTAAAACTGTTTTTATTAGAATACACATTTTATAGCCCCTTTCAATAATTGTTTATAAGAGAAAATATTAGGTTAGATTTTCCCAACGTATCGCTAATATAAGATTTCGTTTCATTGAAATGCATGCAGAAAGATTTTGTGTTTTAATTTATTTGAAACAGACACTAACGAGCACTAGTTAGATCCGTTTATGAACTGTCTCTTTTTTTGGTTTAAGGTTTATTTATTTGTCGTTTTTTTTCACTCAAATTCTACACATTTTTTCTATATTCTTTTTTTCCGTAGATTATTTTCCAATATATTGATCGATTGCTATACGACGGGCGATATCATACCACACTCTGGAGAGTAGAAGCGAGACTAATGGTCAACGGAATGGCAGAAATCCGAAACTCTTGCTTAGCGAATATGAGTGTGAATAATTTTATTATAACACGATAGGGCTTATCAATTTTGGCAATATATTCTTTCGCTTTTGAATGGGTGCCAGTTATCAGTTTAGCCGCTTTATGGTAGCCGCACGCCTCTCAGCACACCCACACCTTAAATATTTCGTACATGATTGCAGAAACTAGACGCATGATAGCTATCAACTCGATACGGGATTAGGGCCACATACGTATCTCTTTTTGACCATGTCCAAATGGAGAATTGCGCCAAATATAGCCACAGCGAAACCAATGATCATAAATTAAATCGACTACTTTAAATTGAAGTAAATAATGCTCAATAATATAGATTATAGCGGATCTGATACGTTTATAGATATGGCCTGAATGATAAGCGTTTTTTTTTTCTAGTTATTAATGGCAAAATTGAGATTAGAGTTGGAATTTGTCTTTATTTTACAAACGTTTTTGATTTTATATGGCGTTTGCAGTTTTTGCACAACACAAGTATAAATATTGATTCTGATCAGCTTTCAGTACTGACATTAATTTAACTTGCCTGTTGCTTTAATTATTTATGGTTTTTGATACTTTTAGGCGCAGGTGTTTTAGAGTAAAAAGTAATATTTCAACAAACTTCATTATAATTGGCTAGCGTTTATTTCTTAGAATGATTTATTTTTAATGCCAGGACGATGGGCTTGAATATTCTAAGTTCCCGTGTTTTGAATGTAACCAAAGTTTACCAAACTTATCGTTTCAATATCTTATCGATATTTAATGTATTATTTCTTATCGATATTAACTTACAAACATCGCACTTGGACAAACGCCCTGTTTCCACAAAACGCGCATTTTTTTTAAAGTTAGACAAAATGCCGTTATTAAGTACACATTAAATAATGTTTTGTTAAATTTATAGCACACTCTAAAGTGTATAATCATAAAATAAATGATTTTTAATTTGCTATACGCAACATACAAGAGAAACGCACACCACTAGGGTATGCTAACTATAGGCCACCCACCACCCACCCTGCGAGATCCCGATTCCTGAATTACAACTCAAAACAGACGACGCGTCGTCGTGTACAGAGCGTGCAATCTGGGTCCATCCACCCAAACCACCCCTTTGGGTGTACTGCCCCGCCAACTCCGTTGCTGGTTAAACAACCACCTTCTGTTTTCACTCGCGCTCTCTCTCCCTCATTTTCTCACTCTCTCTTTCTGTCTCGCAGCAGCAATAGCCGGCAATTGTCGCGTCCGCAAGGGACATGCAGGACGGAGCCATCGGCTGGCCGTGCTCGGGTGTCCGCTCGTGGCTTGTTTGTGCTTTGGCTGCGAGATTCGAGTCGCGTGTCTGTCAGTTTGCATGCGTCTCCGTTTGTGGGTGAAAGTCCAGAGTAAGTCGCACCGATTTGCGGCTCGATTCTCGTGCAACGTGTTGTTAGTAGCGTATCCGACGGTCTTTGTGAGTCACCAGCCACCAGGCAGAGTGCCGCTGCTAGACGCTAGAAAAAGCCGGGAATTATTGTTTATGTTCTCAGCTCAGTGTTTTGGTCAAGCGCCACTTGAATAATTGTGAAAATTGAGTTTCTAAATGCCGCTGTGAAACGACAAAGCAAACAAAGGCTCTTCAGATTGTCATGGCGTCTTTTTGTGTCCACAATATATGTATCCATACATAAGTGTACCTCCAAAATTGAGACCTCTTAAGTGAGCACTTTAGGACTTTCAACTGACTTTTGTGTGGACCATCAGCTGGATTGCAATATGCGTCTCAATAGACAGGTAACTGATAACAGTACGCCAGGAACTCAAGGGAGAGGTGTATATTTCCACGAGTAACAACTGTCGCGCACGTTGTTATTATTATTTTGGCTGTTGTTGTTGTTGTTGTTGTTTTTGGTGGTGTCTTTAAAATCGCCTGCAATTTGGGGTGTTTTTTAACCAAAGCACAGGTATGGGATAATCAATTCCAAACGTACCAAATGGAGCTCACTTTCACTAGATATTTCACAGATTTAAAAAATACTCTGAAATAAACCCATATCCATAAAAGTCCAATGATATTTAACCAATATTCCGAATTGTATTCATAAGCATCATAAATTGTTGAATCTCTTCAGAAATCGATACAGCTGATCGAATTGCGATCAAATTTAGCAGAAAATTGAGAGCATTCAAAATAAATTAATTAGAAATATATAATAATATAAAATAATACAATGCCAACACATGACATGGCATATCTGGGATATGATACATGTCAGAGCTGAACAGAGGCCGGACAGCTTAATAGGCAGGACGAACAAAAGATTTTCCAGAGAGTTCATTGAAAAGGAAAAACACCATTTTTCGTATATTCATTTCTTTTGACAGCAAATGTACTGAGCTCCAGGCTGACCTTAGCCGAGGGTTGGCCAAATGAATGAACCCGGCGAAGAAAGCCACATAATGCACACACGTCGTGAGGTAGGAAAATAATGTAACGAAGACACGCGATAGTCAGGGCGAGAGTTCAAACATATGCACTACAGTCGATGGATCACAATGCAATGGGTATTATGCAGCTATTATATTAATATTAGGCATTTTAACTCAAGCCAGATATTGAATATGGCGGCCAAAATTTACGTAATAAGTCAAAATTGCACATAAGCCCGAAAATGGCCATAAATTGTTATAACATTCTTTATGTGGGACTATGTAAGCCCAACTAACGTGAAACAATTTAAAAGAGCAACACATAAAACTTTTTAGTGGTTAGCAAATGAGAAACTATTAAAAAGTGCGCAAAATTCTTTCGTCAGGTTGCCAGTCGGGGACCCAACTTGATTAAAAGAAACAAGTCGGAGGTTCTAGTCGGGAGCTACCGACTAGGGGATACCTCTTCTTCCGACAGGCGATAGGTATAAAATGAAAAATACTTGATATATAATACTATTCTAGAAGCTACATGTCCAGTTTGGTGACTCTAGCTCGTATTATTTACCGAAATTGCCCAAAAGACAGGATTTCGATATCGATTTTTAACGATTACTTGGAAACGGGGCAAGTTATCGAATATCGAAAACAAACTCGATCTGCGCGGGGACTAAGAGAACCTACAGCTTAAATTTCAAGTCTCTAGCTCTTACAGGTTCTGAGATCCTTGCGTTCAGACATACGGACAGACGGACAGACAGACAGACGGACAAGGCTAGATCGACTCGGCTATTGATGCTGATCAAGAATATATATACTTTGTGGGGTCGGAGATGCTTCCTTCTGCCTGTTACATACATTTGCACAAATACATTATACCCTCTTTACCCACTTTCAATGGGTTCAGGGTATAAAAATAAACACATAAATAAATGTGATAAAGTGTGAGCAAATGTGTTTAAAGTTTAAACTATCCTTGTCATCCTGCACAGTTTGCAAATTATAAATGCTTTTCCTCCAGCCCGACAGCGTGTAAAAAAGGTTGCGGATTATTTACAAAAAAAAAAGGTAATTGGTTTTTCTAGCTGTTAAGCTTACTCAGAGATGGATGAGAGAGAGAGTCGTTATTTAATATATCAAAAACCACAGAAACTATGTTTGAGAATTAACTCAGCTTTTCACTTAGCACAACTTTGACTTAATAATCCTATCACAGGTACATATTTATTGCACAGACTCCCATCCAACAAGGACACGCAGCCATCTCCAGTCCAGACTAAAAACCAAACACAAAAGAATGTAAAGTTGGGCTGGATTTTTTTCTTGACCTCCTAGGCAAACGCAAATACCTCAAAAGTTTGGCTTAAAAAAGGAGCATTGGATTTGTAATTTGTTAAGCTAACAATTCACTTTGTCTCGCAGGGCTTCAGTCAGAGAGCTGCCCCCCTTTCAGCCCGTATATACTTATATTGTGTATATACTACATACATATATAAATGCTTTCATTTTTGTAAGCGTATCGTATAACAGCATTCAAGTACTTGAGGGAACAATGTTTTAAAAGGCTTCAGTGCATTTTGCATTCAATTGTAATTTCAACTGAAACTTCAACTAAATTAAGGCTACATTTGCGCGCGCCTCGAAAGTCTGTTCCGTCGCCAACATCTAAATAAGCACTTTTATGGAGGTTATTTTCTTGGTATAATAATTTCACATTTAGCTCGAATAAGTTTTTGCTTTTGCTCACTTTCACCGAGTCGTTTCACTTTGC